ACCGAATTCCAATCCACGCCTTCCAGATTAAAGGCGACTTCTACTAGGGTTTCCTGTCTTGACTTTGTGAGGTTTTTAATTTTTCCTACGTAGGACAATCTTGCCTTTTAAGAAAGATGGGCCTGAAATCTTTGCTATAACTTTTTTTTCCTTCACATGGAAACATTTTTAGCAGGTCAAAACAGGCTTTGAAATGACTGTTTAGACTTTGGCTGTGCTTTTCTAAGTTGGTTCTTTTGTGCATTCATCCATGTACATTCATTCTTTAGTACATTCATCCTTCATGTAGTATCCTATGCATTTAATCAGGATACATTGATTCAGCACTTACAGTATGGCAAACATGGCGCAAATGTAGCTCAAAGGTAGAGTTCTTGCCTAGTAGGGGTGAGGCCCAGGTTCAGTCCCTAGCACTAAAGCGGGGAAAAGGCTAACGTGCAACCCTGTGTACAGGCTGTTCCCACTTGAGGTAGTTAGAGATAAGTAACAATGAGGGGTTTTTTCTGAATGAGCGTTACAGTGATCCCTGTATTTAGGACCGGCTGGGCCTTTAAGTTCAGCTGCTCATTTGAGGAATCGGGTGCCAGTCCAGGATCAGACAGCCACGTGACAGCACAGCCAGCACTGTTTCTGATTTGTCATAATATTGATATGAGGCACAGGAAAATATAGCTGATCGTTCTAACAACATAAAATTTCTGGATTTTTGCAAATGTCAAGCCATTGACTTTCTTTTTTTTTTTTTCTGTTTTCAAACACATATTTGTTACCAAATAGCTGCCTGTAGAGGATTTCAGCCACTTCAGAGAGATGCTTCCAGTGCCAAGGTGATAAAGTCTATCTTCAAATCATCCAAATCATTTCCTTCATTTTGATTCTCCAAAGGTTTTCAACTTTCGATGTTCACCCCGTGAGACAGTTCCAAGCACAGCCATGTTTCGGAGGTCTGATTCTCTTTGACAGCCACTGCAGGAATTTAAAAGGTGTTTGTTTTGTCATTTAAACTTGAGGTCTTTGGACAGAATCTGCTGAACTCCTGTTCTGGACATTCTATCAAGGGGGACAAAATAATACTTCATTCAGAGAGGGAGGGAGGTGCAGTGGCACACTATGTTAAGCAGGATTTAAGTGTTTTAAAATTCCAGTGTGTTGCCAGGTATGGGGATGCATGGCTGTAATCCCAGTGCAGGAGGCTGAGACAGGAGGATCCCTGGGAGTTTGAGGCCAGCCTGGGCTACACTGTGAATTCAAGGCCAACCTGAATTATACAGCAAGACCCTGTCTCAAACAACAAAACAAAATAAATTCCAGTGTACTTACTATAAGCTCAATAGCTTATGAAGTAGACCCAAGTGCAGAATACTTTTTACTTATTTGAAAGGACTACTTGGTTTTATAGGATTTGCTAGTACGTGGGTCAGCAGTAGAGTTTGAGTTTTTGATTTGTACATTTTAAAAGAGGATCTGTCCAACAAAAATTGCTAAGTATGTGAGGTGACAGATATGTTAAATAGCTTGACGTAACCATTTCAGTGTATACATATGTCAAAACTTCATGTTGTGTTTCAAAAAATATGTACAGTTTTTCCAACTATACCTTATTTAAAAATAAATTTGAAAAAATTTAAAACTCCTACTTGCTGGGAATATTGAATGGATTACTGTATTTTATTAAGGTTTAATTTTTCATACATATTTACTGAATTCCTACTGTGTGCCATGCTCCATGCTAACTACAGGGTTATAATGACCAATAAGACAGATATTTTCTATCATCATGAATCACAAGATTTAAACACAGAAGAGCTAGCGTCAAAATGAGTGCCCAGGTCTGGAGACATCTCTGTCCGTCCAAGCATTCCTCCCTCACCTGCTCCTACTTTGATAGATTCTCACCTTGCATTGTCTGCTATAAGCCAAATTTTATAACGGCATAAAATATTTGTATGGAGGCATCTGGATGAAAAGCTGGTATCAAATCAGAGATTACATATATGAAAATAGATGTGTGTGTATACTGTATATATTTTTCCTTATGTTCTTGAGTTTTGATTACTCAAGTTAGAGTTGAGAAATTTTCTACTAATTAAATTCAAATTCAGTTTACTATATTTTCTTCCTTGTGGTCCCATGAATAATCACACACAGGTATTCATTCTTCCTTCACCAGTTCTTTACGCTAACACGTTCCTCCACCACCGACTCGTCCTTGGAAAGGACTGAAAGTGTGTTTCTCACATGCATGTGCGCATGTCCCCCCTCGTTTTCTGCGGGGAAATGGCCCTGCCAATTAGAGCCTCCAACAGAAAGCTCTTGTTTGAATTACAAGTAGCTGTTTCATAGCATTTCTCCCCCTTGGGGGCTTAGGAGCCCTTCTCCTTCCTTCCCACTGAGCCTCAGGAATGGTGTCTAGGTAAGTGCCAAGCCAGACAGCAAGGAATATTGAAATTCCACTCTCTGAGCAGTTTGTATAATTGTTGAGAGTGGTTTCCTGTTTAAGAAGTCTGATTTGTTAAGCTTGCTTTTTCCTCCTGAAACCCACCATATTCCGGTTATTTATTCGTGTTTTAAAGCATGTAAACAGCCGAAGCAAATGCAGTATTTCGCAGCGGGCTTTCCCTTACCAGAGAGGGTTTAGAAGTACAGTCAGCTGTGAGCAGAGCTTCTGGGTTGTGGAGATGGAGGCTGAGAACTGATTGTGCCTCATTCGGATTCGAGGCCTCAGATCTACGGCTGCCTATGGAGAGGCTGAGACTAATTGGCATCCGGATTTGCACACTTACAAAAAGTATCAGTTTTTGTTTGTGTGTTTTGTTTTTGTGTTTGTGTTTATTTGTTTTTTGAGACAGGGTCTTTCTGTGCAGTTCAGGCTGGTCTTGAACTCACTATCACCTCAAACTGGCAGCAGTCCTTCTGCCTCAGCCTCCCAAATGCTGAGATTACAGGCATGTGCCACCATGCCTAGCTAAAATTTAAAACTTTAGTTAAAAAAAAAAAGCCTTTAGTGAACTCTTTCAGCCATATAGAAAATCATATGAAAGATCCCCATGTTCTCACTACCCAGATTTAACAGATATTAAGATTTGGAGCAACATAAAAATTGTTAAGCTAGAACCTGGAGTTGGTGGAAATCAAGCATAAGGTAGGATGATGCAGGCACAAAGTTGGAGGTAGGCGACCTAATGTGACAAGAAACTAAGAGATTGAAAAACCCCAGGGCCTCTAAGACCACAATTGTCTGGGTCTGTCTGGGTCAGAGGCAAGCACCTCTCCTGCTTCAGAAACTCCCAAGGGCTTCTTCTTATAATAATCAGTGTTTTCTTGATGACCCAAATCATCAAGGGAAGATTAAATATGTCCCATTCGTGCTACTGCTGAGGAAGGAAAGCTAGTGTACAATCCATCTGAAAAGCATTGGTTCTTGGGAAACTGAAGCAGGAGAGTCACTTTTGATCAGAGCTTTGAAACCACTAGCCTGGGCAGCATAGCAAAGCCCTGTCTCAGAACAACCCCTCCAAACACAAAAAAACCCACATTTGAATAAATATAAAAGGTTTAAAAATCAAATTTTGACACTCAAAGAGGGAAGATTTCAGTTTTATAAAAAATTGGCAGATTCTGTGATGCCCGTAGTATTAGGAAGGGTAAGAAATCTACCCTGAAGGGGCCAGGGATACAGCTCACTGGCACAGCGCCTGATTGGCAAGTGCAAGGTCCTGAGTTCAGTTCCCGGTACCAAAAAAAAAAAAGTCTGCGTTCACTACATAGTTGTCTTTGCATTTTCAGCAATAGTGTTTTAAGGCAAACTTTTTAGAATAACATGTAGAAAAGTACTGGGTCATGTGAGGTGCTTTCATAACATGGACACACCTGGGTACCCAGGTAAGAAACAGCATTCCAAGCACCCTAGAATCCCCCTGGTCAGCCTTGCAAGGCCTTTCAATTAGGATGACTACTCCTGACTTTTAACGTCAGAGCTTAGTTTGTACTTTGGAAGTTTTTGGTATAACATGATCCAGGCTGGAGAGAAAAGCTGTACGGCTTATTGTTCACAATTTCATCTTCAGGCAAACACATCTTGAGTACTTCCTTTCTGTATGTACATTCCTTCCTTTAGGTGTTGGTTGACACAACAGTTATAATGGCAATAATAACATATATAGGTATAGGTATAGATATAGGAGAATAAGTTCTCACTATGTTGCTCAGGCTGACGTTGAACTTGTAATCTTCCTGTCTCAGCCTCCTGAGTAGCTGGGAATGCAGGTGCACACTACAGTGCCTGACTAGCAATAATATTTTAAAACACTAAGTGAGGCTGGAGAAATTAATCTCTCTCTGCATCAGCTTTCTCCTCTGTACAATGGTAATAAAAATGTTACCTTTCTCAGATCATTGAGGTGAGAATTAAATGTAAACATGTAAATCACTTAGCATGGTGTCTGTTACCCAGCCAGGGCCCACGCGTGTGCACATGTGTGTGAGAGATAAATGAGGTTAAAACAGGCAACTGCTGTCCTGACCTCTCTCACTGCAGAGGTGAGCTTTGCCTGCTTTTATACTTCATATAAACTAATCCTTCTATATCCTTGTTAATGTCCAGCTTCTGGAGGTTGACACTGTAGACAGATCCGGGTCATTCCGTGTAGTTGCTACAGATCATTCATTCTCTTTGCTGTTATTCTGTGGTATGAATATATCATTCTATTGATGAGAAGCATTTGGGGACTTTTGGCCACTATAAATAGTGCTACCAGTAACATTCTAGAAAACATCTTTTGGTGAACATGGGCACATATTTCTTTTGGGCATAAACTCGGGAGTGAAATGGCAGCAAAGGAGCCTAAGAAGGAGCCCCTGAGAAGCAGGAATAACTTGGGCAAGTGGGGACAAGCAGAACCCAAGGGAAAAAGGTTCCCCAAAAGGAGTGTCCAGTCTGTTGTATTGTTTATTTTGTATGTTTTTTTTTAATTTTAAAAACACATATTCTGTCTTCATAGCCATCATCGTGTACAGACTCCCATGGACCTGGAAATGCAGCAAGCTCCTGATGAAGTCCATCCACGCGGGGTTGAACACCGTGGCTGCCGTTCTCGCGATCATCTCCCTGGTGGCTGTTTTCAATAACCGCAGGGCCAACAACCTCACCAATATGTACACGCTGCACAGCTGGATTGGACTGACAGATGTCGTACTCTATGTCTTACAGGTGAATGTCTTAGTATATCTATACACTAGAAAAAGTAAAACCTTTTAGAGACTATCAAGGTTTTCTGAGCATTTTTCATATTTGCTTCTCTTACAATTCTTTTCTGCTAAGTGGACACTGGAATTGCTAAAATGAGGGTTTGTGGGTTTGAATGTGAGATTTAAAATACTGACATCTGTAGGTAAGGAAATTGCCATCTCCTAACATCTACACTGACCGTGCTCAGACATTAGATTCTATGTGCTAACTTTAGGTTCTACCAGCATATGCCACAGCTGTAGATTTCTTTCCCACATTCTCTGCTACTTTTCTAGGTTTACTCTCATAAGTGAAGGGGTTATAACTTCTTACTAGATTTCAAAGGCACTGTGATTGATTATTATTGATTATTATTATTTCCCATTATCCTCCCCCCTTTTTTTTTAAAAGGCACATACCCTGAGAGCACTTTATTTAAACCTAATTTTGTAGAGTGCAATGGGCAGTTGGTTGTCCCAGGCCACTAAAATAAAAGTTAATGAAAGTCTTTTGGGTCTTAACAACTTTGTTGAAAAATCTTGGCTAACAATAGGATTTCACTTCCCTTCCTTAGTTAGTACAGTGTATACTCCACTACTTGATAGAACATCCGTGTGAACCTTACTTGTCTATGGAGATAAGAGGAGTAAAACATTCAAGTGAATCCACAAAATCCCAAGGCTTACCCTAAAATATATGGCCCCCTTTAAAACAGAATCTCTTACCAGGCGGTTGTCATTTTTCTTCTTCTAAAAAAAAGTTTCTAAATCTTAAAGCTTACTGAATTTTTATTAAATAAAAGTGAATGTCTCCATGGATGCTCTTAGTTACTTAAGTTTGTGATAGCAGGTGTGGCGGTAGAGATTGGGAATGGAAAGGAGTTGGGAGGGAAGTACAGAGAAAACCTGGTATCAACCATAATCTTCCCATTCAAGAAAGAACAAATAAAATTTCTGTCACTGCATAGCTGAGCCCAGCTCAGATCGCCTGTCCTCAGGGTATTTTCAGCCTCTGGTTCACATCGGGCAGGGATTTTCCTTCACTGCCACCAGATGATGAGTCGTCTCCCTTAGAGAGGAAGATGGCAAGGGCAGGGCCTCTGAGACCGGCAGGTGCTCTGGTCAGCTGTGTGGACAGCGGCATCTCTGCAGTTCTTCTTTCAGCGCTGTTCTGCTGTGAGACATCAGTTACCCCGGCCTTGCCTCAGTTCCCTGCACCCCGTCAGAATGCAGAGCGCTGCCACAGGTGGCGCACTGAAGAGCATTCTGCATATCTCACTCGTTCATTTGGGTGAGAAATTTTGCACAGATGCCAAGAGCATGGGGAGAAATGACCTTCCCAGAGTTACCCAGCTAGTGGCAGACTGGGACTCAGGCCCAGGTCTGTCTGAGTCCTGACCTTCCCATCGTTAGTTTACTGCTGTCTGATCACATAGATTGCAGAAGGCTGCACTTTCCGGGTAAAAGTGCACTAGCTCTGTGCTTCTGAGTGAGTAATTTTAAACAGACTAAATAAAATGCCTATTCTGAGTTAGTTGTATGCCAAGGCATTCTCAGAACATCTGGATAGATATGTGCCAGAAATGTTGAATGTGATTATCTGTAGTTGGCTGCAGGCCAGTTAATTAGTTTTCTTTTTACTTTCTGTATCTTCTCATATTTCTTCGACATACCTTTTTCTTGCACTATAATAATAAAGTATAAGTAAATAATAAAATGAATGAATAAATAAATAATAGATTTTCTATATGAGGTATGTCTTTTAATGAGGGATTACTAAACGCCTACTATACTCTGATCTATGTGTTAATATGTAAAATTAAAGGATATTGAGGAATTCACAAAAAAGAGAATACTTATTCTAAAATATATGGCTCTTAATTAAATCAATTCTTAGAGGAATGTAAGTTTTTAAAGGCCTTTAAAAAAAATACTTAAAATAAGAAACTAACTACTTAAACTAAAAGAAAACAGTGAGAAAGTAAATTAATAAAGACAAAAATTTCAGAGCTGGGGATTTAGCTCAGCAGCAAAGCGCCTGCCTGGCAAGCGCAAGGTCGTGAGTTCAGTTCCCAGTACCAGAGAAAAACCAAAAAAAAAAAAAAAAAAAAAAAGACAAAAATTTCCA